TTGAAATTGCGTAGAGATGGATGACAATGATAGGCCTGATTTAAAGCATTATCAGGGAGTTCAACCTAATGATTTGTGACTTTCTGCAATGTGGTCCTCGTTGTCTTACACAGTCATTGCCTGCTTTATAGGGAGGCCACTCTCAGTTTTGTGCCAAGATAAACAAAAGGGAAAGGAAGTTAGAAAGGAAGATGCTGCTGTCCTCGGGAACCCACTGCTTTCAGTACTATATTTAGGTCAGTGTTGCACAGAGACCTTGCAATCTCAGAATGCAGTATAAAGAGAGAATGGAATGCTGTAATGCTCTGAATGACTGCACATACACTTTTGTTGTTAATTGCTATTCACTATCAACGATGGCCACAAAGGCTGTTCAGATGCATCTGGCATATTACCAGGAAAAAAAATCACCTTCCTCTGCTTCTTCTGAGGATTGTTCAGCTAATCAAATCATAAGTTCTTGGAATGCGTTTTGTCATGCTGCATAATCCCACCAAGCATTAATTTCCCTGAGGTCACAGGGGAAGGTGGTGCAAACGTTATAAATATGGCATTTTTGTATGTCGTGAAGCATGTTTTCATTTTTATGTGAATGCACTGCATTTCTACATTGATTTTTCTAAGCCACAATACGCTACTGATTTCATCATTGGGATTTATCAGGGCGTTAATTAACAGTGTGCATTAGCGTCTACTCATTACAGCTCCTTAATTTAGGCAGCGGGTAAGTTAAACATAATTGCAATATATGCCTGACGACTGGTCTTTTTAGCACTATCATGCAACACAATGGAGCTCATGATTAATGTTCTTATTCTGTGGCTTATTTGGAGTCACATTGGGCTCGATGCCACATGACCCTCTTATAGATTAATCGAGTATGCAGTGCAGCGATTTTCATTTAATTGTGCTACATGTACGAGAAGATAGTGTGATGCATCCAGCTGTTCCTGGATATTGTCTTCAGCCCAGATTTCCAGCAAACGCTGCACCTCTGCTGTAGACCAAAGTGATCCCTTTGCTGCCATGTTTCTAAAATGTATGTCGCAACCTGATCAGTACAGCCTACCCAATATGGTTCTTCCAGGTCCAGTTCATGTTTGGTGTACAAGTCTGCATGTGTGTGCCAGTCGGATCACTGTCTGTGTGCCGGTGCTCGGGCAAATTAGCCATCACACTAGATGCACATTGTGCCCAAGTCCAGCTGAACTGTGCCCAGGCCCGCCTCTACAAGCACGCCTGGGCAAGGTACGGGGCAATCACTCGAGTCATATTGGGGTCAAATGTTCTCAAACATGGTACGGATCCACGGTACAGCCTAATAATACATTTCTGTATTGTTGTTAGGAAAATGCTATGTGACAATGCGAAAAGAAACTCACACCACATATGTTTGAGTAGCAATTGTCCTGGAGTTGCTGAAGAGAGTTTGCAGTGGGAGGCTCGACGTTGGTCAATGTCCTTGTTGGTGGTGCTGAGCAGCTGTAATACTGCACTTCAGACCTGTATCACCCCTGTGTGGGTAGAGAGTGTGAAGAGCCGTGCTGGTGTAATAGGCGACACTCTGATAGCCAAAGGAAAACCAAACAGTCGTGCGTAAAGGGAATAGGGATTTCAGGATTTTGGATATAACAGCTTAATTTCACAGTATTCCAGATACCACTTCGCCTTCCACTTTTATGCTGATCTGTGCGATGCAGTTCCCACATTCGCAATGCTTGGAATAAACGCGCAGAGATGCTTCATGGCGAGGGGATGAAAAACCAGTGGCAGCTATTTATTTCAAACAACGTCGGAAACAAACTGACGAAATACAATTTCAAAGGCGCTATATGACGGCAATATAAGGTTATTTATTATCAGTTCTTTTTAGAGGATAAAAAAAACTTCTATTGTAAACTATTGGGGGGAGCGGTTAGGCAAACTGATGTGGAGTCCTACAGCAGACCCCATCTCTGCTTTTAGCTGACACCGCTTGCTTGCTTGTTTGGGCGGTGCGGACCTGAAATATCAGATTTCCTCAATTTCTCTGCCTTCGCGTTGAGCCGTACCGTCTGATTAGAAGGCCCACAGCCTACAGCAGTGCTGCCTGTCGGGGGCTTGGGGGGGTTTTCTTGATTCTTTCAGCGTGACGCCCGAGCGGCGCAGAGCAAACCTGCGGCTGTTTGCTTAAATCTGTGTCAGAGACCCTTTATTTTCTTTTGCCTCTGTCAGGTTACACTGTCAGACCACCCTTTACTGTTTAAGACACTTAGAATTTTGTAGGTCTCACTACAAAATGTTCCCTGCATGTAGCAGATGCGGATAAAGGGTAGCAAAACACTGATTATATATATTTTTAATTGATCGCTGGTCTCAAGCAACTGTTTTTTACAACCAGAAAGATATTCTTGTTTAATAACTGACCTGCAGGGAAGACGAAGCATCTTACCTTAGTGTGGTAATGAGTTCCCTTGCAAGCTTGACTTTAAAACGTTGTACACCTAACATAATGTGTGAATAGGGTTTTTTTTGGGGGGTAAAAGAGTGAAAATCACATTTTTTTAATGTTACGTGCCATTCAGTTCAGTGATCTGAGTTTGTCTGTGCACAGTGTTCTGTGTGTGCAATAAAACTCAAATGCTTTAAACAGAGTTAAACTACATATCATGACCTAGATTTATATGGTCACATGCTTCAGATTCAGATTATCTTGGCATCCACATGTAAGCATGTTAATAATCTGGAGGACATTGAATGATCTTGGGATGTAAACCAGAAATTCATACAAACACCGACAGTGACACGCCCGCCATCTCCGTTTAACTCTTTAATCGTTTGGTCACTTATAATCATTGTTTTTTTCCTGAAGTATTATTTTGTAACATTGAGTTTCTATCGAATTTGTATGACGCAATGAGAGATAGATGCTGATATACTTAAGTATGTGGGTCCCTTAGTCATATTTGGCAAATCTTATGAATTTTTCTATTCTATTTCTATTGGGTTCTTTTATTTCTTTTGTGGCCTCGCATTCAGTCGCCCTGAATACTTCCTCTCTTTGCCGAGTCAGCAGAGGCCGGGAGAATCCCCAGGAACCCAGACTGATGTGTGGAATCGAGGCCACGGTGAATGGTGGCAGGAGGCTCTGACATTTGATACTGTGCTTTGTGGGTGGATGGGGGGGGGAAATAGGCTGGTAAGTCAGGTGCTGCGGTGTGTCACGCTTTTATAGGGCAGATAAAGGAACGCAGCACTGTGGAGCTCCCCGTCTGCGCAGACACGAGTGTGCGACGCTGAAGTGACAGCAGAGCCAACTGCTCTCTGCAGATCAGAAAGATCATTTTACTGTTCTTCAGATATATGGGTGTCGCTCTTAGAAAATGGTTTGTAAAACACAGCAATGGGTTAAAAAGAGAGCATGTATCTCTAAACTGTAACTCCTGTCACATTGTATTCCTTACAGGAAAGATTCATGGGTAACCAGAATGTTCTCCACATCTGAATTCAAAACGATCAGATCTTGACCACTAAAGGACAATTGCCGTTTGCTGCATATCTTTTTCATATCAGTGAGAGCTTCCACTGATTAGCTTCTGACCTAAGTATGTGTGAGAATAAAAGATGGGCTTTGAAGCTTTGGGCAGTACTGTGCCTCCCTAATACTGTCTTTAGCCATGGTTTTCAGTTCTGTGGGTTAAGAGCTGTACAGAGTTTTAAGATACTACATTGTCTTATGAAATCACTGTAATCTTGACCACTTTTGTAAGACTCAGGGGGGCACCTTGGGATGGGGGAAGACAAGAGTGTGTCCATCCAGCGTGTAGTTCCGATTCCCACACATCAATTACGTCTGTGCAGGGGGTTAGTGAAAGCATACCATTCAGATTATGTGCTTTTTTTAGTTTTAGTTCCGGTGTGTAGGACCTGAGGCAGAATTCCAGTTTCCATGTACATGGGTTTTCAGCGAATAATGCAAGCAAGTAGATTCAGCAGAAAAAACATCAGGTGCCTGTCTTAGTTTGTATTTCATTTTTACCAGTTTAGAGGTTTTTTAATGAGGTACAGTAGATTTTATATATTTACATTTTTGAATGCAAAAAAAGAATGTTTACTTTAGATTTAAATACTTTAAATGATAAAGTATGTTCCAGTTTTATTATGAATTTGCTTTGTAAAGTATTATTAGAATTTTAAGTGGAATGATAATAAGAAGTTTGGTAAAAGATAAAGTAAAGCTTTACTTTCTGCTAAATCCCTATGTCCTTGTGAAACGGTAAATGTCTTGTGACGATCTTTGACACGGGACGGTTTATGAGTTTCATGATGTTTTTATGTGTGCAGAACACAGCTGAGTTTACCTCCACATCTCACTGACACGGAACCCCCCCCCCCCTTGAAAGAGTGTGTACCATCTCTCCTCCATCCACCTCCATTTTAAATGGCTGCATCAATCCAGCTGCAGGACTGCGCCCCCCCCGGGGTTCCGTCAGGACGTGTCATATGCGCTGCTGGGGTGTTGAGAGCTGCCCACAGCTTTCTGCAGCCACAGCACGTTTGCCTAGAGGAGTTTTTTTTTTTGGGGGGGGGGGCATCTGCCATGCTACTGTACTCCTCAGAAGCTTCATGTTCATGAAAGATCTGCACACGTGCATGTCTTCAGCTACCTTAGGCCCCGAATCTCCACAGGAAATGTCTTTCTTGTAGTACATCATGGAAAAACATACTTGGCATGACGATTTCATAGTACAATTCATACCTTATTCTTTTTTCTAAATCAGTGTTTCTCAGGCTGGACCTCAGCGGTCTCCACACAGCCCACATTTTCGTTCCCTCCCAGCTCCAAACACACTTGAACCAAAAAAATCAAGAACACCAAACACCTGGTACTTGTGTGTGAGACCAGCGAGGTTGAGAAACACTGGTTTAAATTGAAGTTAGGCAGGGAATGACATCTGTTTAGGTAAGCGGCTCCAGTATGGATATGAGGAACGTCCTGTCTCTCTCCGTCTTCCCCCCAGGGCAGTGAGGAGGGTGATGTGGACAAGAATAAGTGCTGCACGTTGTGCAACATGTCTTTCACGTCTGCCGTGGTCGCACAGTCTCACTACCAGGGCAAGATCCACGCCAAGAGGCTGAAACTGCTGCTTGGGCAGCAGCCTGCCGTCACAGCCCAAGGTAGGTCCTCCTCACTGGCTTCCAGTGCGCTTAAGCCAGGTAACAAGTTTGTCTTCTTAATACTGGACAAGTCAGACGTTGTCTGTTTTGTTTTTGTCTTTGTCTTCACACAGCAAAATAATTGTACTTTTTGTTGCATTGTGAAGGTCACCTTGTGAAGGTATGTTCACCTAGCTACAAGTGTGTGCAGTTCATATGGAATCAGACATTAATACAATCAGCTTGTCTTTCCCGTGGCACATATTGTTTGTAGATATAAGACCTCATTCAGCACGTCACCGTTTACAGCTCAGTTCTCTAATGAGGTCTTTAGAGAAAAGCCTCCTGCGCTTGTGTATGATTTACATGCAAGCTGCACAATCCCTGTCATTGTGTGAGAGGTCTGTGCAAAAAGACACACAGACCCATCAGGGCAAGGCTATGTGGACCCCCCCCCCCCCCCCCCCCCCCCCCCCC